AGTTAGAGCAGTCCCAACTACAGCTAAACCCAGATAGAATTTCCAAGTCCACCTTTTCCAGCCTTCAAACCTCCAACAGCCATCTCCAACTGGAACCATGTGTTTCCCACCCTGAGGCCAGATGCCCATCTGCAGCCCCCTGTTGACTGGCTGTGATTAACCCTGCTAATCTCACTGAGGTTCCTGTTCTGTAGTTTGGCTGACAGCTCATAGTACCAGCGTACAAGCAGTCTTATTAGGGAGTTTCTCCCTTCTTGGCTGCAGGATCTGAGCTGTTATAAAACAGATTGCAAAAATACCATCAAAACACAAGACAAGAATGGAAAATTAAAGGGAAGATCTCAGAAACCTCCCAGACTGACACTATTGCAATTGCTGCACTTCACCATTACCTAAACACTCACTTACTAGCATGTTTTACTAGTAAAATTCTCTCAAACATGAAAATATGTATACATTACCACTCCTTGCAACATTACATACTTTCAACAAAGTACAGCTCTATCACTGTCAAATAAAAACAATTGATAACACTCAAAGTCTACTGCCAAAACTCTCCTACTTGATAGTCAGAAGGCATAACTGCTAATTAGAATCGAGGTTCAAGGCACCCAGCTTCAAGAATTTCTGCACTTTAGAGACCATTATATCTCTGATCAAGACATTCAAGGCAGGCCTCTGGAATTCCTCAGCAATTCATCCATTCTCAGAAGCCAACCTGTTCTGGTAATGCCTCCCATCATGCAGTATTTTTTAACCGACTATATGTGAACTATCCCAGATATGAAAAAAAGCTGTGAACAAAAGCAGAGAAGATGCACCTGAAAAACATAAGAAAGGCTCATGAAGGGGAAAGAGAATTGGTGATTTCTAAAATGCTTGAGCAATTCTGGGATCAAGACACCCTTTAACATAAGGATTTACTCCTGATTTGTTCTGAATCACTTGTGCTCCCTCTGGGGGTTTGCAGACACCCATATGTAGGCATTTGCTGGATGCTTGTCAGAGGTGGTATGAGTAATTCCTTCCTGTCTCATAGGGCTTGGTGGCCATCCAAAAAACAAGAGAATTAGAAGGGGGAAAGAATGTGTGAGTCACAAGGGGATTTTTAATTTGTAAATGGCATTTGTAAGGCTCGTGTTGAAATACATCATCCAATTCTGACATCCAGATTTTAGAGAGGCTGTTATGGGTGTGGGGGAATGAGTAAAGGTGCAAAGATAATGGATTCAGGAGATAGAAAGATATACAGCAGGAGAGTGAAACATTTTAGTTCACTTAAGATATCAAGATGATTTGATGACTTGATGACCTAATTTTTAAGAACTTTCCACAGGAGAAAGATAGTAGAAGTTACTAAGACTGGTTCATGAAAGTGATGTAAAAGCCAAAGTAAGACACATAAGGGGTAGAGTAATACACATTAATTTGGTAGATTTTTAGCATATGGGATGACAAATCATTACAACAGGCCATCATTATGGCTCAAGAAAATGCTTGAGCCTGTGGGCGTCTTGAATCTGGGCATGTTCTAAAATATTTACCTCCATCAAGTTACTGAGCTTTGGAGACGGATGGCATATAAAGTTCATATTCAGGGAAGAGAGTTATTTATCTAATGGCCCTTCTTGGTCCTAAAATTCATAAATATTTTAGGAGACAAGTACAGTGTGCTGTGGTGTGGCTCCTTGTTATGCTTCTGAAATCAAGTCTCTCAACCAAACACAATTTTGAAGGCTACATATGCTGGGGGAAGAGTAAAGCATTCTTCCATCACTAAGCAAAGTGGTATCCTTGGTGTCCTGTGACTTTTCTCTCCCATGAAAGCTTGTACATTAATAACACTCTGCATTGAGGTTTCTCAAAACAATGTCCCAAATCCCTTTTGGGCCATAAACTAACATACGCTGTTTCAGGATGCAGTTCAGGTTTTCAGCAAACCATCTGTTGTTTAAACAAAACTGAAAACTTGCACATATTGTGGCAATTTCTAATTCAGGTTACATCTTAATCTTTAACTACTTGACAACAAAGAAAAACACCTTAGCATTTAAAACTCACAAAATATTACTGGGAACATTCCAGATCCCCTGGATAAAAGTGAACACTGTCACCTCAGGTATGTTTCAATGCAGATGTGAGTTTTCATAAAATTCCAGTATACACTTACACAGGTAAATATAGATACATCAGATATCACTGAGAATAACAGAGGTAATTCATTACCACATAGAGTTTTTTCATGTCTGTCCTTACTTTTTCCTGTGGTTCTATTAAGAACAATGCAGAATGCTTCTATACAGTCTAACAGGAACGTCAAGGTTCATTACAGCAACTCTCCTATGAAATCACTGATGAGAAGTACAGAAATTATTATCTCAGCATCTTTATATTTATTGAGAAATACAGATTAGCAAAGAACGAAGTAGCACAGTTATTTTGCTGAAACAACAAAAATCTTGGCTTAAAGCATTTTGGTTATTTTTGTTCACACAAAAAAGTTCTGTGCACCTCAACAGTGTTTGATCATATGAGTCACAGGAATTTTTTCCCATTTATTTTAGGAATGCAGAGCATATATACAATGCAGTATATGTAATAAATCAAAAATATATACAATAATATTTAGTCCACATATTCTTCTATAAATATACCTGCACTTAAGTAGCATTCATTCCTAGCTATCTGATCACAGCATATATAAAATTATTATCATCTGCAAGGTAAATGCATGTTTTGTATCTACTCTCAATCTAAAAATTACTTTCATTTTCATAAATTCCACACATGTTCAATGAGAACATGTAACTGCAGAAATAGAGATCTCTTCCAAATCCAGTAGAAAATTCAAAAATTACCTTAGTTCATCAAGACTGGGTAACTATGACTTTAAAAGGTCAGAAGACTTTTCTTACCCTTTGTGATCAAATGATCACAATTCTCTCATAAGTACTTATATTCTTGAAATATTTTCTTTATACTTGTGGATGTCATTCTTTTACCCAAACTTAATCACAAAGGAGGTGGATCAAATGGAGAAAGTACAGAGGAGCTTAACAAATGGGATCAGAAGTCTAGAAAGTATGTTCTACTGAAAGAAATTTGTTTGTTTAGTCTAAAAAAGAGAAGACTGTGAAAAGATATGATAACAGTCTTCAACTATGTAAAAGGTTGTTGCAATAAGTGCTCTTCGTGCCCACAGGGGATAGAGCAAGAAGCAAGGAGCTTAAATTAGAGCAAACATGACTTACAGATCATGAAAGACATTTTATGGGATCCTGGAAACCTCAGTTTCAAGATTTAAAAGCTTATCTACTTAAAAATTACGTTAAATATATATATATGTGTGTGTGTGTGTAGCGAGAAGCAAATTTACTGACTAGTATTCAGTGTAGCACAAATAGAAAACAGATCCAGTGTGGTGGACCACAACATTTGTCCATGTGGAGACCAGGGCAAAACCACCGAGTGCTGACAGCAGAAGCTCAATGAAATGGATTCATTTCTTCTACCACAATGGCCAAACACTGAAGATCTTTGCTGCACAATTACTTGATAACTCTTACTTTTGCTTAAGGCTATTTCAATTTCCACTTTGTTGTGATTTAGTTCAGTTCAAGCACAAGGAAGTAATTTTAAAAGTCTAAGAATAATTCTGACTTGGTCAGAGGAACTGAAAAGGAAAAATAACAAATACACAATAAGGGAGCTGTTCTCCTGACATCACAAGTTAAAGTAAATTACTCTGATGTGAAGAAAAAAGAGCATTTCGCCCTTTTTCCCTTCAGTGTTGCTTATTACTGACCTCTGGCTCTAACCACTCGTTCTTTTAAAAATCATTTCAGTGTGTCTGGACAAACAGAAATATGAGTAACTATTAACTAATCATTGTCATTCAAATAATTCCATCATGTCTACCCCTCCATCATTCTTTCATTTTTTCCCTTCAAGGGGGGAAGATTCTGAGCTGAATGCTGGAAGTCCTATTTAACTCACCTCAGTACTAGTCATGCAACAAAACAGGCAATAATCACACCTTGTGATATGATGTAAAACTGTTCCACTATGTTACCTTCAGTAAAACAGGCAACAGAAATTTTTGTGCCTATGTACCACCTGAAGATTTTAAAAACCTATAGAAACCTAAATAAAGCACAGCACTTTACAGCTTTCTGTTTATAAGGAAGAAATCTTTTATTTTCTTCTCTAAATCTTAGATACTGAACAGTACCTGTATTTTTTGCAGAATTACAATTATTTCTTACTCATTTTAAGAGATGTTGAACAAAACAAAAAAAAAGCATCCGTTCCACAAAGTGACAGGCATTCAAGGAAAGAATTATCTCTGTCACAGTAATTAACACTTGTTTTGTTAGATGCCCTTTACTCCATTAGCCTTTTTAACCACAACAAGTCTGTGAACAAAACCATTCTGTGTACGATTCAAAGCCCTGCTTTGTTGACAGACACAAATAATGTTTCATCAAGGAAACATTCATTTTCAATACTGGCTCTCAGAAGACATCTAGCATCTTTAAGGAATTGAGATTTGAACTGAACCATCTGGCTAATGGAGCACTAAATTAAGATTAATAAATCAATCAGCAGGAATTAATCATCTAACACAGAATTCTCAAAAATGCCTTGGATAAGAGGAGAGACACGCCTAGCCTGAAAGAGTGATCATCTCGATCCAATATAGATTTTTAAATTCAATTTCTCTCTACCACCGTGGTCAGATATATGTAAAGCAAGGATGATACAGAAAAGCTTTGCTTTTCCTTATTAATGTTGGGCTAAGTAACAACATCTTTATACCTGCTAGAAGCATTCACCAAGCACAGAGCTAAAACTATGTGGGAGAGCCCAACAACTGCTAATGAAAACCCAGTAAACGTCATTGTCCCGGACTCAGGCTGGAATCTCAAGTACTTTCAGTTTCCTCAAGATGGAATATAAAGAGTGAAGAGTAAAGGTGACTCACTGGAGCAGGTTATTACCTTGAATGCTCCTTTTGAAGAAGGCCTTGCAGCCCTCGCAGGACCAGACCCCGTAGTGGTAGCCCGAGGCGTAGTCGTTGCAGACGGCGCAGTACCGCGTCTCCTTGGTGGACTCCATGGCCAGGCTCCCCTTCTCGCTGCTGCTGGACATCCTCTCCCGGATGCTGTGCCGCCTGTTGTCGGAGCTCGGCCTGTCGATAGCAGAAAAAAATAAAAAATAAAAAGAAAAACAGGCGTAGCTCTTTCAGGGAGGTCAAGCTTCATCCTCTGCTTCAGGTTGTAAAAGAAAAAATCTTGCGTGCTTGAAAACAACTGATACATAAAAATAAAAAGAAAATTTTCTACTGCTCTCTCTCCTAGTTGAAAAGTTGCAGAATTAGTAAGACACAGAGCAATTTCTTATAAATCTGCCTGAAATTATTGGCTATTTTACCTTGAAAAATAATTTTTTAAAAATTGATAAATTAACCAAATATTTGTTAAATTAACCAAATTTTCAGCAACACAAAGAAATACCAAAAAACCAGCACTATTTTGTGTACCTGCTCTCGTCCAAAGGTTTCAGCACAACTGCAATATCGCAGTTAGGTTGAGAATCTGAGTCAAAAACCACTTATGACTGCACCTGAATTAGTTTAATTATTAACTTAAATTATTATATTATATAAACCTAAATTATTAACCAAGTTGTTTTCAAGTGTTATTGCCCAATTAGAGATGCAAGCTTTCCTTCACTTGTCAAGATCTAATACTGCATAAAAAAGTGCCTTTTCTCATTACAGTACCACCTTCATAAAAATTAGGCTGTTTCACTACGACAAAAAACAAGCATATTAAAAACATGAGCATATAAAAAATTGTTGCCAAAGAACTTTTTTTCCAATGACACAGACATTACTGGACATGTACTAGATATGCACATGGCCAGCATGTGCAGGATGCTGTGCAGGTGAAAACCAAACAGATGTATCTGTAAATGGCAAGGAGTTCACACCCACTGAACCTGGTAAGAGGTTATTACGGGCAGCTGCTGCGGGTGTGGTGCACAAAGCTGAGAGGATGTGAAATTGCCAAGGGAGCCACCAGTGAACTCTGGGACTGCCCCTGGAAGGCAAACGGTTCTTTGCAAAACATGCTTTCCAGTAAGAGTCTGCGCTAAAAATTGTCCAGGAGACAAATACCATTGGGTGTGACAGCACCAGACAAGCTAAAGCATGAAGAATCCTACTGTTTATAGTAATTATTCACTTACATGCATGCTTTAATTGCTGGTCAGTAAATAAGTTGCTTTTACCTCCCCAGAGTCTCAACATTTTCTCAAATAAACATATCCTGGTTTTGAGCCTGGGAGAATCTTTCGGACTTCTTCCTACATACCCAATTTGCTTTATTCCCTTCTTGAGAGCAGCAAAACTTGCTATGCTTTGATGAACCGAGACATTTGGCACCAACCACACCTTCCTGCTCCAAACCTGTACTCCCCAGCAGCTTTCTGATTTCTTTTGGTATGCTGTAATATCTCATCCAGCCTAAGTTCCCTGACATCCCCTGCTGCAGTACCCCTCAACTGCTTTCTACCAGCCAAAGGCACCTGGACATTCTCACATGTGCTCTCAGCCATCCCCCCAAGACTTTATATATATATATATTTAATTTCTGTCCCCAAATATTATATTAATTCAAAGCTTTTCAATGAAAATATATCAGTTATTAGAGGAATATGAGGCTTTACCAAGTTAGCAGAAACTGCTACTGGCAGCATTCAGGAAAACTGCATTTTTTTAAACCCAATGTTCTTTGCCAAGACTTATATATCAGCTAATTTTGAACATTTACTTAAATAACCTTTTCCTTTTGCTTGGAACTTGTGCAGAAGGGAAGAACTGTAAAGGGTGAAGGGCTGACATGACACATCTCTGGTTTTTAGTGAGACAGGAAAATTGGAGAATGTCGCAATTGACAACATGATTCTATGAAACTAGGCAGGGGAAAAAGTCCTTGAATATTTTAGATGTTAACATGCAAAAGATTAAAAATTTCAAATGTACCAAAATTAATACAGTATCATTAATCAATCATTATGGATTGTACAACACATACATTGTACATATAACTCACCTTTTATCTTTTCCAGCCCAACAAACCTAGCTAATATTTTTATTCTTCTCAAGGTCCTGAACCTTCCTTTGAATTTGCTTTATCCCAGTGCCTCATTTAATTGACTTCCTTTTTTTCTCTACTAAGTACTGATCAAAGCTGTTGTTTCTTATCTTCTCCACCCCATTCTCATCTGTCTGCAGCTTTATCACCTCTGTCAGTACAAGTTTAAATAAACCATGTTGTGGCTTCTTTAAAATACATACTCTTAGGTGCACATAACCACAAGAATGTTTCAAGTATTTTAAGTAATCCAGCAAGCAATCTAATAACCATCAATATAATTTTAACAGCCATAGACTAATCCATTAGGTATCTGTGATGACTTGATAGATATTCATAATTTTTGACCAATTTTTTTTAAACTGATACAAATATGCATGTTATAGAAGATAAGGTTCCCAGAATTATTTTCATAAGAAGAGTAAAAAAATCAAAACTTTGCACTTTAAAAACAGTATGAGAAAAAAAATTGAAGCTTCAAAACAACTACATATTTTTACAGGTGTGTAGCAGTTTTCCAATATTACACGCTTATTAAAGGAATCCTAGTTTCCCAGTTGGATACAAAAAACCCTTTCATCGGTAAAACCAAAATGAAGAAATACCAAAAAGTATCAGTCATCACCGATCTATCAGTCCCGGTAAATTAAATTTTCATTTTTTCTGAATGGACATCCTTTTTCAGATCAAGCCTAGGTTTGCAAGCACATTTTTATTGAAGTTATACTTAAGAAAGATTAAAAATTACTCAAAAAATACCATCACCTCCCTGCACACAAGCTTACAACATGGAGAGAGCACTATGAATCTGTCAACACAGGCTTTCACAAGGCAGAAGGAATCTAAAGATGACCTTGCTGCTTCCCACCCTCAGAATCAGTTCCACTCCAGTGACATTTGACCAAGGTTTTGCAAACTGGCCCTGCAGAGTCATCACATTCAGGCTTTGGTGAACCACAGTGGGAAGCACACTAAAATACCCCTAGCCCCATATTCCCAAAAATAACATTCTTTCCATTTATATACAGTAGAAATAAAAGCTGGTAATAAATTAAGCAATTATTAGATGAGGTGAGGAGAAAAACTTTATGTGACGAGAGAACCTCAATAATGGAGATTGCTAAATCAAAATAACATCAGATTTCATCCAGAAAGCAGCTGCTGGTTAGTGTACATCACAGACCACTGGTGCTGTGTCCTGACAAAAAAAAAACATAACAGTCCACTCTTCAAAAAGTTTTCAGTTAGGTTTCAAGGGCTGGTCTTCTGGAGAACATAGTACAACAACCTGACCCAGCTTAATGACTTTGGAAAGACCATCATTCCCAAAATATAAGAGCAGAATCTTTTCTGCAATTCCCTATGTAACCTATGCAAACAACTACAAAAAAAATAAACTAACTAAAGATCTTGCCAACTATGTTTACCAAAAAAACCCACAAATGAGAACAAAAGAAATTCCCAGATAAAGCCGTCTCTCCAAGGCCTGCACAAAACCAGAACAGATTAGAAATCAAAAAAACCCAGAATCTACTGCACATTTCCAAATGCAATAACACAGCAGAGATAAAATGAAAAGTGTTTGGAACCCACAGAGCAGAAGAAACTTGTCTCCCATATTCCCTTTCCCTTTCACACTTTGATGAGTGTGTAAGGAAACAACACATCTCTGCTTTATACATTCACTCATCATCTGTAGCTCTGAATCAGAAAGAGATTATTAAACCTACCTTAACTGCAAAGTAAAAGAGAAGTGTGCATGACACAATTACAGTTTTATAATGTAAACTCAGTTTTTTTACATCAGGAGAATCTGACTGACAGGCAGAATGAACTTAGGACAGTCCAAAGTACACAATCCACACAACAGTGAGGTTAAGCCAAATTTATTCAGAACACTATCTTTACCTGAAAAAAAGAGGTTTTGGTGTAGGAGGACTTAAGGGAGAAATAATATAAATAGTTAGACACCTTGAGAAATTCTAGTTTTCTGGATTTATTTTCAAACACAAAACTTTAATCTGCTTTCCAGAATGGATGAAATCTCCCAGGGTAAGGTGCCTCAAAACTAATGGTTATTTCAAAAGCAGTCAAGGTCTAGTACAAATGCTTTTCCACACATTGGACTTATAAGGACACCAGCCTGCCATTCCCTATGAAATTAATCTGCTGTTAAAATGTAAACTTCTGTATGGGGCAAAATACTTATGAAATACTTTTTGAACATATCTAAGTGCTTGAAAACACTTAGAAGGCATCTCAAGGAGAAGTACTGCAATAGAATTGAGCAAGTATATAAATAAATAGAGAAAACTGACAAATACATTAAAGGCCTCAAAACTGTATTCTCAAAAAGTAACCCCAATGAATCTGAAAAAAAATCATGTGCCATGCAAATGAACGTATTGGCTTAAAAAAAATCTAAAAATATCTAGGGTTGTAATTAAGCTAAGTACAGCCTCACAAGAGAGAGAATGCCTAACATGAAGTTGTATCTCAGATGGACAGAATCACAGGATATTTTAGGCAAGATGGAACTTTGGGACATGATCACATGCCAAGCCAGCATTGGCACAAGAGAGGCCACAGCCATGAAGGTGGGCTCCAGCAATGGGAGCAGAAACTGGCATCACTCCTTGCCTGATACTCCACTAGTGATGAAGATCAGCAAGGGCTCACCCTGAGACCTCACTGTAAGTCATTCCTGATCCATGGCTCTGAGCACATGCAACTCACACTACTAAATTCTTTTCCTCCCAAAACAGGACGGTTTTGTTTATGACGCCAGAGGAGAACTCTTGCATAGCTCCTGACCCGTGCCTTGGGAGAGGCTACTTAACCTGGCCAAACCCTGCCTGGCAGCATGAAGCTATTCAGCAGCGAGAGACATCATGCTGATCTTTGCACCATGCCCTGACCTTGTCTAGGTAACAAAAATATATGCAGGACTTTCTTGCCCCACTATCTTCATTTTACTCCCTGATGATCAGCAATGCCCGTGGTGCAGCACCAAAACCAAGAGCAATAAGCA